CCTGCCCCTGGGCGCAGCCCCTTAAGTACAACAAAAAAGGAAGGTCCGGGTATGTCCAGTTCGTTTGGGAGTGCTTCCAAGACCTGCTCACAGATCCAGCTGGTTGGAAGCATCGTGTCATCCCAGTCGAAGAACCTAGGCAATATCAAAAAGCAGTGCCACATGGATCCAATCATTGTAGACAGGGTTGGAGATGATTGGAGACGATGGGATTCACTTGCAGACCCCGAATTCGACTTGATTGGACTCATGCCTTTCCCCCCTTCACAGAACCCCCCATAATAAATACTCTGCGCGGAAGCCTAAAATTCTGGGAGACCAATGTCAAAAGGACAAAACAACTTTTAAAGGGGTCAGTTAGGTGGCAAAATGAGAATAAATTAGCGGGGGTCGAGAACTAGGGATTCCCACTACGCTTAAACAAAATCTAAATAAAGCTATTGATTTCTCAGGCAACGGGCTGCCGGAAACAAAGCCACCTCCTCCTGATAATTAATGCTCCTGGGTGGCTTTGAGTATGGCGGGAGGTTCACTATTCGGGGTGAGAGATTACCAGATTGGATGAGACCCTGGGATGGTTAGAGTGAGGACATGGCCCTGTCCAAGCAGCAGGAGGGCTTCAGCTGCATCGAAGCTTTTGGGGCTCTCGCCCGAAACGTCGCTGCAGTCCTGGGATTCCAAACACAACAAGAATGAAAAGGCAGTAAGAAGAAGCCACGTGCCACTAAGATTTGCCGGGAAAACTATCTAGAGACCCCTCTGTCCATGGCCTAAATCTTGATTGCTTTGAATGCTTCCCCGGCGTGACTCCAGAAGCATGCTGGATGTCAGGGATGTGGGACCGGGCGAGGATAAATCCATGATCTTGGGACTTGCCAAAACTAGTCCAAGGCTCTGTGCTCAAGCACAATTCCGAGTTCTCTGAAATGGTTTCCAGGCAAGAATTGAACTTGAGGTCTCCTTAGATTAGCAGTCAGTAAATAAACTGAAGAGAACTGTCAGCAACGCCAGACGCGGCGAGATCCAAGGTCCAAGCTGATCGCATCTGCATATGCTAGGGACGCCATTGCTACACACTAAACTGGCGCTGGCAGGCTCGGTAGAAGCGCACGACAATAGGTTTGTTGGGAAAGTAGACTCTGGGCTGGTAGGGCGACTTGGACTGCTTGAAGTAGGGCTTGGAGAGATCAGTGCGGAGTCGGGCACGACAGCACCGGTTAGGACCTACGCAAAATGCAAAACAGCTGCGGTTGGCGACGAAGCCTTTCATAGGACAGACTCAAAAAAACCCTCGTGTCACTTAATAGGCGCAGGAGTTCTGCTTGCCGAAGTTCTCCAAGATCCCTGGCTGGGACAAATTTAAATGCTGCTAAAAGCATGCAGCAACAATTGGCTGCATTCCAGTCAATGCTACCTTGCCAAGCCCGCTGAAGAACGGGTTGGAAGCGGCGTCCACGTAAAGTAGGTTCAACTGCCTCAGCATATGCAAAATGACTTGCGTGCGTGTCCTTTACGTTTGGCAGTTGGGGTTCGAGGCTCAATTGTCCAGTGCGAGAACATCACCGTAGGCTTTCAGAGCAGCAGATGACAAGACCGAGCACCTCAGCATCGACCGCAGGATCGCTTCCTCATCCCGGCGCTGCCGGCAGACCTGCAGCAAGACCCCTACAAGCAAGAACGAGGCTGGCAGCAAAGCATAGCAAGACGCGCAAGGACAATGCTGCTCCACTAGACCTTGAGAATCACAACACTCAGAACAAGTCAGAGTACAAACAAAGCTCTTCAGAAAGTATTAGGAAAGGCTGCAATGATTTGTCAATTGCATGCTACATCGTGCTACTCACAAGTTCAGTGATGCTTTCCAGAGGTCACAGCTGGTGATCGTAAATGGGTTCAGCAACTCAACACAAATCTCGACAAGAAGCTGAAAGCTTGCGCAGCACCAACTAAGATGCGAGCTCCATCACGGACAATGGTCAGCACCTCAGTCCACAATTCACGACAAGAACTCCACCCACACATTGACAGCAACCCCTCACTTGCAGAAAATCCTGCTTGTAATCTTGCGAAGCTTTGCCAGGGACCCAGCTTTGACGCGTGTTGCAGCCACATACGCGTAAATATTGCAATCCTGTCAGGCAGTACTGAGGGCACCAGTCGCTGAGGACACAAGTCGCTAGACTGCGATCGTGATAAGCAGCGGTGCCAAGTACACTGGTACTTGCCAGGGGTCCTGCTATCTTTCCCCATGAACATCAAGAAGCATTCCAGCCAAGGAACAGTGGCCATGTGAGCACGGGTTTGGGGCTTCTCTGAAAGCCTGCATTGGGGTGACCACCATGGCGTCCTGAGCGTCAAACAGCGCCGGCGAAATGAGGCCCAAGTAAGGGTCGGAACCCTTCGCCTGAAGACTTGTCAGCTATGATTTCGGATGTGCTCATGGTCCCATGGTGGAACAAGGGGTCATGTCCGCACAGTCCCAGTCTTGCAACTGAAGCAGGGTTCCTCACATACCTGTCCTGTAAGCAGCGCTGAAATCTTGCCCAATCCACCTCGCCTCACCCTTCTGCAGCGCTTGCGCCACATTTTTCAGCTGCACCTCTCTCTCACCCCATGAAACATCAAGGCTAACTGACGCATGGCCTATCATCTTTGCACATTTTTACCATGAGTTTGGCTGCAGTTCCCACAAGCTTCGGCCTGCCCTCCCACATCTGGGCTGCGTAAGCAGAAATCCCATAGCAAGAATGACCCCTGGGATCAGTCAGTATAGCCTCCACTTGGTCCAGCGCAGCATGCAGCAAGAGCTGAAGCCTTGGCCAATCAGTGGAAGGAAGAAAAGGCAGCCATAGCTGGCATCAAGCCACCATTGAGGTAGTCGCTCTAGGTCGTCCGCATCTGGCGGAATTGCCTTGGAAGGTACAGCCCTCAGAGAGGAACCAAGGAAGCAGGCTCAGTCGTCTCGCGCTATGAGAACGGGAGGTGTCCTTTGCCATGTAGGCAGTTTAGACCACGGGTTGAGTTGACTCGAGTCCCAAGCCAGCTTCCTACGGAAGCTCCGGAAGAAGAGTAGGCTTCCATCTCTGCCTCGGCAGCATGCAGGCGAGGCTCCTGTCAAACATCCTGACCGCAGGCATCCTGTTAAAGCCCCTGGTCATGAGGACCCTGCCCACCATGGCAACACAAAGCACGGGCGAGTCCTGGAAAGATGGCAAGAATTCTAAGTGAAGACTATCTTGGGCACCTTTTTAGAATCAGCCTCCGCTCCCAATGCAGTTGCACAGAGTGTTGAAACTCTCTTCTGCTACTTCCTGGCTTTCTAAGCAAATGCCTCTACAGGGGCCGGTGCCATTGCAAGGCAGCAGTGTGAGCTCTCACACCAGATGAATCTACAAAGGACAGTACGTACAGCTACGATGGCTGGGCTTGCGCGGTCTGCGCTCTATGACTCACGGTGCATCATGGAGATTGCTGCGGCGCTTGGTTGTCAGAATCACTGAACATATCGCATTGCAGCTAGCTGTTGTTTTGAATAACTGCCTAAGCTGAAAGTGGTCACGCAGCTGGGACCAAGAAGTTGCTCAAGGTTTACCGGACAGGGGGGGTGTTCTATGGGTGCGTCATCTTCTCCAAAGCAGCTGGGCTCCGGGACTTCTCCAAACTTCCAGGGCTCTTACTCGAACTAGCTGGAGGGCTGGACTGCAGAAGGCGCCCTGTGTTGAGAAGCGCTACTGCAGCTACTGCTACCACAGTATTCAAGTCACATTCAGGCACGCAACCTTTTTTCAGTGCAGGCTACAAGTACTGCAGGCCCAATGCTTTGCGCACCTGGCTGTCGTTTGAGGCATGAAGCCTTCAACTTGCATTCACGCAAGACAAGTCTTCATGAGATGTGCTGAATCCATCTGGACAAGCGAGAATTCCTTCCCCGCGCCTGCTCCAGCAGCGGAAATGTCAGAATGGCGTGGGGGCCTGTCGCGCACAGCAGTGTTTCTGTCAACATTCACAAGGCCGCCAACAAGTGCGCGCTAGCTATTCCCACAGCTTGTCTACATTGCAGACGTTCGCAGTTGCATCGCACTTATGTGTCTATGTATGTCTGTGTGATGCAACCAGCCTAGACGACAGTATGCTGGCCACCAACCGCGGAAAAGGCTGGCAGGGCCCTGGAACAGCAAAGTACATTCAAGGTAAGCACTTGAGTCACTTGAGTGTCATAACCGGCTCTACCTTTAGAAGCCATGCACAGGACGGCCTCTGATCGCACAATAGACAGGAAGGCATCAAGGAAGCCCCGTGGGAAGCGCGTTCCTCACGGGTTTCCGTAGAGCTCATAGATGTTGGCAAGCATGAACGGCAGGGTACATGCTTGCCTTCAGAAATCTCCAGAACCCGGCATAAACCACCAGAGGATTCGAATGGTGTCGAAATGTCCGGGGGCATCGCCATCATCTGCCATCACGCAGCTTTTCAACGTGTCGAACGGAGCTGCCACAGTGGTAGCAACTATGCCTGCGGAGACACTTGCTAATATGCTCTGCTTGTAGACTGAGATTATTTGCAATCGTATGCATTGCTGGACAATGAACGGCACTTCGCACGTGGCAAAAAGAACCAGCAGTGTAGCTTGGCGCCACAGACTTCCGTCACGTGTTAGGTTCGGGTCTGCACACACAGTTGCTGTCAAGTCTCGAGCCTGTAATGAGAGATGTTGCCACATGCAACGAGAAGGGCTCACGCCGACCATCACGGGCAGCACTCTCGACACCTGTGATGCTCGTCGACACCACAGCAAAAAATAGTAGCCAGCACGGACTTGACACCTGATGGCACGTCAACGAAACACTTCCTGTAGTAACTCACCGTGAGTGGGTCGACATGGCGCATTCTGTAGTTAGGTGGCATCTACGGTGCATGCGGAAAACTATGACATTCGGTCACGCCCGTCACGCGTGGCGAATATACGTCTCACAGATCTGCGATCCGAATCCTCAAAGAGTTTGAAGTAGTTGGCGCTGTCTGATGCGTCATGATGTGCCTGGCCAGTGTCGGCGGAGCGTAGTCTTGGTTTGGTCGTAGGTCGTTACCTGGCTTGCTGTGAGTGTTTTGCTGGATGCTGCAATCACTATTAGCGTCAGGGTTATCACTACCGAATGTCACCATTTCTCGCACTGTTCTTATTCTCGGTTGGTAGGCCTCTGCTTTGCCGCTGGTGCTACCACAGAGCTAGCATGCTGTTGCGTCTTTAGGTGTCCGCCGCGGAGCATCAACCGAATGCGTTATCTGTCGCATGTACATGGTTCATGCGAAGAGTACAGGTACTGTAAGTGAGTAGTTATCTAGTATGTGGTACAAAAAGATGCTAGGGGTGTGCTTCATGAGACATGGTTGACGGCTAAGTTGAATTTGCCTCCCGTGTCCCCCAAGCCCTAGGAGTCCAAGCTTCCGCCTCACCGATCGCGATGGCTGCCCCACGTGGCGCTGATGCGCTAACACCGCGGATCAGAAGGCCTTGGGCCATTTGCAAAGGGATGGCGGTCCGCTGCACCAAGCTGCTCCAGTGTAAACTCGCCTTTGCCATCCCCAAACGTCAATTCATCATGAATGAAGCTCACCAAAACCTCCAGTGTGAAAGCATCACTCCCGAACTTAGGTCGTAGGCCTCGCACGAAGCCTTCTCTCCTCGAAATCTCTGCTGCAGCGGCCAGAAAGCCTCACACAAGTTCTGAAAGACGCTTTCCCGCTGAGATGGCCTTACCCTTTGCACATGCTGAGCCCTCTGGAGCCTATAGCACATCCATCACACGCTAGGCCTGAATAGCGGCCAGGCTCCGCAAAGAGTCTCACCTGGCATGTGGGAGCTCGATCAACTTGCCCCGAGTCAGCGCAAGTGGCTGACTTAGTGCAGGCTATCACTGGATGGGCGTGGCCTTCACAACATCCGGGCCATTTGCACACAGAGAACCGCCCAGGCCCGTAGCCGCCGCCGCAGCTACGCGGTGACCTTGACGGCCCTACTCATTTCAGACGTTCAGCATGACAGACGTTCAACATGAGCATGAGCTCT